CAGAAAAAAGGGCACGCGACTCTTCCTGTCACTTCTGCAACCACAACTTCACCATGCAAGGAAACAGGGCTGACCAGCTGACCACTGTTAAAGGTGGGTAATACATGCAAAGGAGTTTCTTACTATCTGCTTTTGATAAGACTTAAAATTTCCATGGGGTGGGAGAACCGCATTTGCATTGGCTTATACCTATCATTTCAAAACTTGAGAGGCTGAGGCTGCAGGACTGCTATCAGCTTGAGGCCAGCCCAGGCTACATTATTTATTTACATAAGTAAACAAATACAAAAATCTAAGAATATATTTTATAAATTGTTCTTGTTTTATGAATTATGATTAATTATGAGGGAAAATTAAATTCTCCCAGTGTCTCATTTGATCTCTAGTTCTAGTTTTGCATGATGTATGTGCTTGTGTATGCATGTGTGTGTATATGGTAGCTGTTTTGTTTTTGAGACAGGGTTCACTATGTTGGCTGTCCTGGAACTCATTATGTAAGACCAGGCTGGCCTCAAACTCATGGAGATCTACCTGCCTCTGCTTCACAATTGCTAGGATTAAAGGCATGCCTACTAGATCCAGCATAAGGACGTTTGTGTGTGTTTGAATATGGATGTGTGTACACGTGTATATATATTCTCCTCATAACTCTCCTTTATCAGCCCCCGCCATGCTGGGGTTACAAGCATGAACACTAGCCTGGCTTAGTGATATTATATATTTAAAACCTGTCTATTCCTATTTTTCCATGTCCATCTAAGATCAGTGATTATACCAGCACCATTACAATGACTCAATTTTTAAAAGGTCTGAGCAGCACCAGATTTTAGTTTGTAAACGCCTGGGGCTGTGGAAATATTTCTTCTGCAAAAGAGAAATAAGATACTAACCAAAAATCAATGGGAATGCTTCATGTACTATTAAAATATTCACCATGGGACTAAGGAGAGGACCAAGAATGGAAAAGATTTTTTTCGACTTAATCTGAAGAGATGACTCAGTGCCTAAGAGCACAGTTGCTCTTCCAAAAGCCCCAGGTTCAATTCCCAGTATCCACACAGTGGCTCACAGCCATCTGTAACTCCAATTCCAAGGGATCAGATGCCTTCTTCTGGCCTCCACAGGCACCAGGCATCACACATGGTACACAAACATACATGCAGACAAAACAACCGTTAAAATAATGAATTTTTTTTTGTTAAATCTAAGAAGACAAAGTATTAGTTTCATTGCATATGCATTTTTTAAATTTCAAAAATAATTTATTAACATGAAAAATTATGAGTAGGTCTAGCTCAATTCTATCATTACTTCAGCCATCAGAGAAACCAGTAAAGCCTCTATTTTAGATTGCTAAAGATCTGTTTACAATAACAACAGCTTACATTTGCTGGTTCTTGCTCTGTGACAGGCTCTGGATTGAACAATCTACATGATGTCTCTCAACAATGAGGTAGAAACTATGGGCCTCGTTTTATAAAAGAGAGCTTGTCAGCTCAGAAAACACCATATACCTGAATCATCTGAGAGAATGCCTGGCTCCAGAACTGCCTGTCTATACATCAGGGACCTAGGGTGGGAAAGGAAGGCCAACATAGCTAGACGGTAGGATGAGAGGCTTCTAGGGATCTGAGGGGGAAGCCTGATGCTGCTAGGGCTTGAAAGGGAGGCCCAACAATATCTGAGGGCACCAAAGAGCAACCCCCAGTTAGCAGAAATATATATATTTATTTGCCTCAGCTGTTTTTACAGTGGTCAACATGTTCTCACAGGTCCTTAAACCAACTCACAGGATAGAAAGAGGAAGTCTCCTTGACCTGACAAAGGAAACAGAAGGCAAGCCAGAGTCACATGGGGGATCTTCTAACACCAACTTCTAAAGTGCTGCCACCAAAGTGATCTGGTGGCCTTCCCTTGGGACTTCAACAAAGCTAGCCTAAGAACTAAGTGAGGATGTCTGGGCTACATACTGTCACATCATAAAAGTTCAATGATATTAACATAACCCAAAATGACAAAGACTAGTCTGCTAAGTAACAGAAAGAGCCTGGGATCCTCTTGCTCCTAAACAAGGGAAGCAAGTGGTGACCTCAGGTGTATTCAGAGACCAGTCCTAAATGCACAGTAATGTGGCTTGTGGCTGGCACTGCAGGATGGTGGTGGCTGGATAGTCTCATGATGAGAAGCTTCAGAGTGGGCTCTTCCAGTAAATAAAAAAGGTCAACAAGAGTTCACTTTGCAGACAGCACAGAACCAGAGTGGCACCCCCACCCCACCCCCGTACCTCCCCACACCATGTGGATGAATACAAACAAGGGCAGGAAAGCTCAGTCTTTTATGTGCCCAGGGTAAGGTATAGTTGACAAGACTGGGGTTCAAAGTGGACCAAACATTAAAACTGATATGGTCATTCTGAACAGATACTTAGGAGAGCAATATTCCAGAATCACAAAGGCTTCTTATAAAAATACAAACTACTTCTAAAGAGGCATGGTTTTCTTCTAGAAAAACAAAACAAAAATAGTAATTGCCTCTCGGAAGAGAATAGGAGGGCCAATTACTTTTTATTAAATACTCTTTCAGAATTTCCTTACAAGCATTTTTCTGTTTGCTTAAAAAATGTTAATAGCACTGCTGCTTTACAAAGGTAGGTGTTTACCAGTACCAGAAGGGAAGACTGGTTTAGCTGGGAGTTTCTGAAGATGATGTTGAATGCATACAGTGTGTTCCATGGGAGACAGAGGGGCTAAGAGTGGGCTTTCTGGGCCAGGCACTGTGGTGCAAACCTGTACTGAAACCTAAGTGCTCCAGTAGGCTGAAGCAGGAGGCTGACAAGTTCAAGGCCTAACTATGTTACAGACTGAGTTCACAGCCTGCCTGGACAACTTGGCAAGACCCTATCTCAAAATTCAAAAGTTGAGAGGGACCTGTGGGTGTATGTAGTTCAAGGCCATGAGTTCCAATGACCAAAACTTTCTTTTTTTCCGAAGTGGATTCTCTGGAACCAGACAGCACAAATTCAAATCCTGGCATCACTACTTGCTAGTTCTATCATGTCAGGGATATCACCTAACCTTTTGGTGCCTCAGTTTCTTAGCAACAGATGAAATAGTTAAGGCCACCACAAGAAGACAGGAAGTTAGTTCATCTGGAGTGCAGACAGTGCTTGGCTCACCACAGCCACCTAATAATTACTGCTGCCTGTGTCAGCCATACCTTCTCCGACAACTAGGTCCAAGAAGTAGAGAGCATGAACTTGGTAATAATGGAAAACTCACCATATTCAATTCTCTCCCTGGCCTGGGATGCCTCAAACTCTGAAGGGTGTCGATGAACTGATTAATTGACTTAGGACGTTAGTAAGAAACGAAAAGCCTCTCCAGATGCTGGCAACTGCTCTGTTCCCTAGAGACAGACAACACTTTAATCTTTAAGACATAATTACTGAGCTGGTTTGATTCTCTCAGCTACAGAACAAGGATTCCGAATTCAGTGAGTAGAAAGAGTTCCTGGAGAGACACTTCCTGGAAAAAGCCTTACTGTGTGGGCACTTCTTAGGAACTTGACTTTAGAATTCACTTTAAGGCATGCTGGAATAAGACTATAGATTTTTTTCCTCTTAAAACAATAATTAAACCAGTCAGATATGCACTAAATAGCATTTAACCCAGGAACAAGCAGATATCCAGAGGCAAAGCTAGGCTGTAAACTGACTGCAGTTACAAAAGTCCATTCATCTCTGCTCCAGCAGCGGCCTCAAAATGGAGATGATAGAGCCTCGAGCTAACTGGATACAGATGGGCGGAGAATGTGCACAGAATGGAGCAACTTGGGAAAAGCAAGCATCGCATTAGCTGAAGATGATCCTGGCTGCTCAGATGCCAGTGTCGGGGGACGAATAAACCATCTCCTCCCTCCAAATGTTAGACTCTGAGCTCATGCCATCCATATGAGGCTCCTCTAAGGGATTCAGCCCCTGAAGTCCCGCCCGGGAAGGGAAGGAGTCATGAATACAACTTGTGGCCAAGGGTAAAAACTCACCACCTGTGTTGGGCACTTAAGTTGGAGATGGGTTATGAGGGGCCAGTCAGGCCTTTGAGTAAGAGTTGAAAAGTAAAGCAAAGCAGGTTAGAGAACTGAAAAGCGTCTATTTCTCCCTCATTTCTAGAAAGAGAAAGACTAGAAAACAGTAGAAATCAAGGTTGTTCTACGATAAACTTGACATTTTCACTCCTATCTGAACTCCTACATTAAACAGTCAGGAAGCCCGGACACCACCGCGCCTGTGAGTGCTTCTGCTCTTCTGCAGAAGGCAAAGGTTCCCAGAAAAAGTCTACTATGTCCTAATGTTTGGCTAAGGCCCAATCCCCAGCACCCTCCACTCATCCTCTCCCATTTGTCACCCTTTCAGATTAGAACCAAACACTAAAGATAACAGGAAGGGGGCATGGAATCAGAGGGGCGAGATTAAAGCAGGCAAAAGCAACAGGCTCCTGGCTCTAAGTTTTTTCGAAGAACCAAACATAAGGGGCTTCCCAACCAAGCACCAAAGTGGACGCTCTCAAAACCCCTGGAAATACCAAGCAAAACCATTCTGTTTCCCTCCTGAAAAAACGGGAATTCCTAAAACGTCTTCGTGGTCTGCAGAAAGTTGGGGGTGGGGGCAGAAAGTTCACACGAAATTCTGTCCATAAATGGTAGAGCGATCCCTTTGTACGCAGCCCTTGGTGGAAGTCCACCTTTGTGACACATAATTCCCAGTTGGCAGTGGAAACGCCACAACGTGGGCTCAAGAGGACTCTAAGGCCTCTGGCGCTGGCTTTTTAAAACTTTTTGGGCGGGAGCCGAACCATGCACTAGGGCCTCGCCAGCACCAGAGCCGCGGATCTCGCTTGGAGAGTCCGCTCGACCAGCAAGAGCCCGCCCACGGTGGCCTCAGACTGCAAGGGGCCGGGAGCGCAAGACAGTCCTGGCGGGTCCCCGGCCCCGCAGGGGTTTACCTTCCAGGTAGCAGCTGGAGGACGAGGAGAGCCCCTTCTTGGATTTGAAACCCAACAGCTTC